CTGCTGGTAGACATCGCGGTTGGAATTATCAAAGGTTTTTACACCTGAGAGACACCGTAGCAACTCCTTTGCGTTTGGAAGCAGGGGGTGGGGGTGGGGGGAGGACCAGGGAGGATGATTCAACCACTAGATGTTGCTGAAAACAACAAATCCTACACACTGTGCCTTCAAAGTCAGAATTCAGATTTTTTTTCCTAATTCTGAGTTTTAAATCAGAATTATTAGTTTTTCAGTGGCTCTAATTTTTTTAGTTGAAAAAGATGTTTGTTTTAATCCCAGATGGAGGCAGGATGGTGATACTCTTCATCTTGATTTGCTTTTTTGTTCTCATCATTCTCTTAATTTTCTTCTTGTACAGGTAAGAAATGACTTGATTAAAAAAGGCATCTTACTTATATTATTCCTTATCTTTAATTAACATCTTATCTTCACAGAAGGAAGAAATCAAATGAGCAAAGGACAACAAACACATGGCCCCTCTGTGGTTTTCTGGTGACGATTTAAATGTGCAAACATTTTTATGTCTGTGATAAACAAGTTTCATTAATCACACCTATATCCTCTCTGTGTGGGTTTGTGTGTGTGTGTGCGCTAACTCAGGTCTGCTGGAATGGACCTTGGAGGAGGACTGGGAGGAATGAGACGATGCTGGCAGAACCTTTCAGGAGCAGAGATGACCTTCTGCCGGAGCAGCCGTGCCGCCCGAACGCCCAGCCTCTCCCAGACGTCACGTAAGACAACACACACACACAGAGACCTCACACACAACAAGGGACAGTCTGTTGGACTCAGAGACAGTTGCTTCTGCTCAGCCTGTAAACAAAGAACCTGTTTAGGACAGACAGATTGGTGTGGGACAAAGAGTCTCCTCAGTTATTTACAGTTTTATATACAGTAATCTATGGGTTCTGTAAAGTTTACTTACAGTCACTGAATAATGTTTTATTTTCTTGTTCTACAGGTCTGCGTCTAACATCAACTTGGTTTATGCGACTKTGAATCTGCCACAAAAAAATCAAGTGAGTCAAGCTTTTCGAAGTAAGCTGAACAAAATCTCTACTAATTAATAAACTAAAAAATGTGATATTTGTTGGCAAAAATAATTTAGAATTTAGATCCTAATTATGTAACTAAGAAAAAAGAAAGAAGTATCAGTTACTACCATACCAAGATTTAGCTCCAAATCTGAACAACTGACTGAGTATTTTGGAGTTGTASATATCCGATCAGTGATTACTTTCTGAAAGGTAGTGATATTTGATGCCTCAGGCTAATATCAGCAATACTGATCTGGTTTGTGCAGATGCATCAAATGTATATATA